TCCCGCCCGCATTTTTTGAAGGGGTGGCCAATCTAGGCCTACCAAAAACCACAAGTTCCTCTCTTCCTTTAAACTGCCAGAATGGATGGCTGTCCCTGACTAAACGACAGCCTTATTGAGTCTTCGTTTAGAATAACGATTCAGCTAAAATCGTTTTAAAATCTCATGGCTTGCGAGAAAAATGATGAGTAGGTGGTAATCAACAAAGCCATTTTTTCCTTTTAGTGACCGATCTAGAGGTATAAAAATCACCGACACTGCATTGAAGTCATTTCTCAAGTCATAACGGCTTGCCTCCAGAAGAGTGATAGAGCATTCTTTGTTGAAAGTATTTTGATAGACGGCTTATCTTCGGTGAGAATCATTTCTAGGCGTGCGAAGCTGAGCTTCACACATCCTCGCATCCTCTGAGAGTCAACATACCACCGCAGACACAATCGGTTAGTCGTTTCCCTAAACACTTCACAGACAAATAGGCTCATAGGCTCTCAGAATCGTGTAGCTTTGCACACTACAAAAGTTTAGGTTTCTGGACCCGCACTTTTAAACCAATAATATTTCCGAAGTACTTTTTTGCGATTACTCTCTTCTGTGCACTAGTGGGGAAGGAACAGTGCTCGAGGTTTTCAGAAGCACAGTGACTGGTTCCGTTTTGATACATCCTTAGTCGGCTCCTTACACAATCAAAATGGTTCATAGACCCTGGAGCTTCCTTACACTGTGAAAGCTAGATTATTTTTGCTAGGATTAACTCCTCGACTGCGATGTCTTCCTCCAAAACATCAGCACCCTTATCCTTTCCTTTTGTATAAGCTCCGAAAAAAAAACCAAAAAAAACCAACCTCAAACTGGTTGACTGTCTTTGGCCGCTGTGAAATGAAGTCTAGAAGACATGTCAGATCAGCTAGTTTCGTCAGAAGGAGCTGATTGAAGGCAATCTCACAAATCAGTTAAGAGTGTAGATTTGGAGATGCTAGAATAGCCTGTAAGTGAACATAGACTTCTCAAATCTCCAACAGTAGACCTTCCTTCTTCTCGTTGGGTCAAGTTTGTCGAGCTCACGACCAGTTAGGCTGCGTTCATAGTTCGCGACTCCGGAGATTAGGATAGTACGCGACAATGAAAAACATATGTATTGACGGGGAGATTAGGATAGTAGTAGATTAGGATAGTAGTAGAGTAGGAGATTGCGCTGACAAGATTAGATACGTATCGATTGAAATCGCTGGAGAGTAGTAGATTACGATATTACGATAGTAGGATAGTAGTAGAGTAGGAGATTAGGATAGTAGGAGAGTAGGATAGTGCGCTGACAAGATTAGATACGTATCGATTGAAATCGCTGGAGAGTAGGATATTACGATATTACGATAGTAGGATAGTAGTAGAGTACGCGATTAGGATAGTAGGCTATTCCGCTGAACATATCAGATACATATTGACTGAAATCGCTGGCGAGTAGGATATTAAGCGACCAGTGTTGATTTATAAAAGTTGGCCGAATTTTGGGCTAAACTAGCTTGTTTTCTTGACTCAACGTTGTGTCTTCATGATTTTTGTCTCTCCTAAATGATTAAACTAACATTTTGTTTCCTTGTGAACATTTACATAAATCATTAATTACCTAGAGCTCAATTTGCACCGGCGCTCATGTCCTTGGGGGGGGCATCCCAGTGAGTGAGCCAATTACTGTACTTGGGACTGAGCCTTAGGCAGGGGAAGGGATTTTATGGGAAGATGCAAGCAATATGTGTGCTCCCTGGCGTTTCTCCCCTCTCCTGGGCTTAGTCCTAGTGTCACCTGCCATCGGCCTTGTTGTTGATGTCCCCCCAAGGACATGAGCGCCGTTGCACCTATTAGCTGACTCCCCTCTCCTGCAGCTTGTGCAACATTTATGCTATACGAAGATTGGATACGTATCGATTGAAATCGCTGGAGAGTAGTAGATTGGGCGACTTCAAGCGAATAGATCAATACATATCTAATCTTGTCAGCGCACTATCCTAATCTACTACTATCCTAATCTCCCGTCAATACATATGTTTTTCATTGTCGCGTACTATCCTAATCTCCGCAGTCGCGAACTATGAACGCGGCCCTCCGCACTCCACTGTATGGGCCTGTTCATACTTTGCGAATTCGGCGAAGATGCGAAGATGCGATGATGCGACCGAGCGATTCTATCAAATGATGTGCGTGCATATTGATTGACTTGACTCCGCCCTTAGCGTCACTTGCGAGAGCGCGTCTGGATTGCAGCGATCGCGCGAGGCGAAGATGCGAAGAAGCGACCAGCGTGGAAGGATAAGATACGCGTCGACAGATAAGATGCAAGTCTATGAATGAATCACTGATCTTTCTTTGTTTCGCTGCTACTGCTGTTATTACTCTTTTCTTCTACTGTCTATAACTTTTCAATATCCATTTATTGACATGTCGCCGTTAAAGTATCTTCTCTATCTGCGTTGTTTTACCTCGGAAATTCTTTAAACATAAAAAAATAGAAATTTTCAGCGCATTTTTGAGAGGTGCGCTGTACTAGTGTTAATCTTCTGCTCAGGCATGAAAATAGTTGAGTTTAATATGACATGGATCGCATTAACGAGGGAGCATGAGCATGCATATAAACATGAGTACACTTGAACTTCAATAATACACGTGGTCCACATCAACGAAACGTTAGCTTCATTCCCTGTCCTAACATGAACAAAGCGATCTGATTCTGCATAATTGTTAACGCCTCTTCGCATCTTCGCATTATAGCCGATTCTCAAAGTATGAACGGGGCCTATTTGACACTCACGTATCAAACGCTGAGCTTCTACAAAGATGAGCAGCCTATGGAGCGGTCAGCTAACGCATTTTACAAAGCAACTCAATGTTTAGCGGTGAATCCAACGCTTTATCGGCTGTCCTGTTTTATCCGAGCGTTCCGTTTCATGCGCGCGGTAGCGTGCGGTGCTAAACAGGCAAGGCAACGACTGCTGTTTATTTTGATTTTTCCTAACGTTCGACGAGTAGTGGTTTAGTTCTGCATACCACGTATTGAACGTATCGCGTATTAAACGCTAAGCTTGATCGGGAAGGGCAGATTATAGAGCAGACGGGTGAAGTATTCTACGAAGTAATTTACTGCTGGACTCTTTGGATGTGGTACCTAACGCTCCACAGGCTGTCCATTTTACTAAGTCTACCGTGTCATGCGCGCGGTAGGGTGCGGAACTAAACTGGCATAGAATAATACGCTAAGCGTCAAGTGTATGTCTGAGTTCAGACTTTTAAGTATGGTGGACTGAGCGAGAACGCTGGTGATAGGTGAAGTGATAATTATCGATAATAATAATCGGCATCGGAATGTCGATGCCACCAATTTCGTTACGTCCTTCGCGTTGACAGTGGAGAAATTGCGCTTAAACGAACTACAGGGGTGCCCAAAAAAGAGACACTTCACTCCACATTTCAGACAGCATTAATCACACTTTGCTAGAATCAAATCGACTGCCCCAACTTAGTATTAAAGAGCACATTCTAATCTATCTAAAAGTTACATGACAGCCTTCTACACCGACGACATCAGAAGATTTTCCCACGGAAACATGGTTCACGGTACGAGCTCAACGAGGTCGTCGAGGTACCATAGACCATTACGACGTCCCTGAAACGCTGGTCAAAAGCGGTCTTGCACAGTCACAGCTAGTGTCTCTAGAAGCTATTCACCAGTTAATCGATTGAAGAAATTATGTAGCAGCTTCAGGCCGGAGCGATTACGGTAAGCCTCGTTGAGCTCGACGGTGACGGCAGATGACGTCATATTCTGAAGACGGTGGGGGCAGTGAAGGAGGGCCTGCTTCTGCTTACGGGGAACACCTAAGGAATATTCCGCCGTAAAACTTTCATTAACATCGGCACCCTGTGCGACGAAAAGTTCGATGATGTGCGCCATGGGCAAAGTGTCTCTTTTTTTGGCCACCCCTGTATACGGTGTGGGACGGGGACCAAGCAGATAGTGAAAAAAAAGTTGATCGTAAGTGATTAAAACTAGTATTGTGCGCCGAAATGCGAACGCCACCATTTTCGTTAGACCGGTCGCACTGACAGTAACATGTTTGCACCCATGTACGTTATGTGGAGTGAGGCGGGACCGAAAAGTTGGGTGAAAGAGTGACAAGAACTGAGAAGAGACCTAAAAGTGTAGATAACACCAAACTCGTTGTAGGTTTGGTGGTGACAATAAAACCTTAGCTTCTACTGGTAACATAGGGGGTCGGACGGAGACACTGTTATTGAGCTGTATACAATGGTAACTAGTGTTGAACTTCGTTGCAAATATCATCAAGCAATCAGGTGGCGAGGTGTAGATCGTAGGTGACAGAAAGTGGTAATGAGCAGCAAGTCTACTGATAAAAGTAGCGACAATTGATTGTGCATCCAGTTTCAATTGAACCAGCTTATTAGCAAGTGAACACGCTCCCGTAACTCTTTACTAGGTGAAGCAGAAGATATTAAAAAGCTCAACTACGTGGACTTGGATCAGTGTTCTTTCCATACGAGTTAGGTTAGATGTTGATTTCATAGTATTTCACTTCCGCACCGATACTTATAAAGGAAATCTTACAATATAAACCGTTGAGTCAGAGCTTGATATCAATGCTAAATGTTTACGAAGTCATGATAAGTGCCATTTCATTCCGCATGCTACTGCGCGCATTACGCGATAATCTTCAGTGGAATAGGACAATCTTTGGACTTCATCTAAAGCGTTTCCTGCAATATGTATCTTACTACTGGTTTCTGACGAAGTGACTTAATATTCTGGATGGTGTCCAGCCTCATTCAATGTCGCGGTGTGATGCGCGCGGTTGCGTGCTGAGATAAACTGGTATGTTGTAATCGGCTAGGAGCGTCTGCTGGGGTAGTTTTTGAGTATGTGTTTGACCGAAAATTCGTGGTCTCATTGCAGCAGCGGTGGCGCGTTGGCTCTTACATATGTTGTAGGGGTAAGTGTCATGTGGGAAATGGCAAGTACACAAACGTATGTGATGGTGATCGAGTGACTCACATTAGCTGATAATGGGGCTCAGAATGGAAGTGGCCTTTTTGTCGTTCATGTAAAAACTAGAGCGTCCGTACTTATGTTTTATGTGGTATGATAGGGGAAGCTTGATGGAAGACAAAACGTGATCACAGCTTTTAAAGATGGTCAGCGTATGTAATTGGAGTTATTGGTGTTTCAACTTGAAAGTCGAAGCTGTTTAACCGCCGAACCATCCCAACATCCGAATCATTGTAGTTGTTTGGCTGAAAAGTAAGCAGCTCAAGTAATCATATTAGTTATCTAAGCTCTAAATTTGGATGTTGGACCACGTCAGCTTCCGAAAAATGATGGTTGTTTGGGGCATTGGTGAGTTACGACGAATGTTTCTCTATCACCACCATAGTA